TTGATAAAAAGTCAAGCTTATCTTTCTCTCTTCTCTTCTTCCTTCGATGAGATCTTAATCAACTTTAACTCTCTTTCTCTCTCTTCTTCCTTCAATTTGTAGATTCCAAATTTTCCAATCGTTTTATGAATATGTGTTACGGTTTTGGGTGAATCTCCAATCTGGTTGTGAGGATCATAATTTCAAAGTTTTTTGCTTTCTATTTGATTTTACTTCAATTTTACATGTCAAATTAGTTCGTTTTTTTTAAGTTTCAATTGATTGTGCTCTCTTTGGTTAAGAATCATAGTCGATTTGGTGCTCTCTTTACCAATTATGTTTCATTCATCGAAATTGTTTGTTGTTGTTTAAGCTTTTTGTGAAAAGTAAATTCGAGCTTTGATGAAAAAAAGAGTTGTTTTTGAGAAATTAAGAATATAATATCAGAGGTGAGGGATAAAGGAGAGAAGTGCGAAGAAAATGAAAAGAGAAGATGCATTGTGAGGATCAAGAGGAGAGTTTTTGTTTTGTTTATGAATTGCTTTGGTCGGAATGGATTTGGTCTTGAAGGCATGCCAGATCTTTTTTATTGACAAAGGAAGCAATGATGAATCTCTTTTTTTGTTGTCTCTGTTTAGTTTTGGAACTTGACCATCTACGATTGTCTATATGGTTGTCGTTTTATGGTACGTATTGTTGGAAATTCGTGTATTGTTCATTGCTCATACCAATATGGTGGTCGTTGTATGAACACTATTTTGTAATGAAATCTGTAAAGTTCATCCCCTGTCTAGATTATATGCATATTGGAGAGAACAAGGTGAACTCTCAACAGAAACTTTATGGTTTTTGGAAATTAATAACATGTCCACGGTTCATTTTCTACATGCCCATAATTAATTGTCTTTGTAATAATATTAACCATAAATTATTCTTTACTTTTATACATGAACACTAACCATAAACCAGTTACCATAAAAAAAATAATTATAAAACATGATCATGAATCATTCGTTATGAAAACACATTGATACTAACCAAAAAAGCTTGACCACAAAATGCTACCATACGGATGATGCAACTTCTTTCTATTTAGTATCAAGATCATATGGCTTCGAAAATTGCATTCACTACATCACCTGCACAAATTCGACATCATTAACAAATTCGAAACCAAAAACATTAATCTAATCTTAAATCCAACAGAATTAGACAGATAATTCGTCAATCAAATTCCAAAAA